CGTCTTTGCAACCTGTTCCCTCCTCTCAATCAAAGTTTTTTCTCAAATTGCTACTGGTGCTCAAAGTCAATCACAATGTCTCAGACATCATCTTCAACCAAGGCGACTTCATCATCCTCATCATCTTCATCATCTGACCAAGACTCTAGAGCAATCACCATATGCATAGAATCTGAAGTTCTTGAGGTCACTCCTCTCAGAGAGATGGCAACTGACCCAGCCAAAGTCAAAAAGCTAAGAACTAGACATGCAGGAAGAGCTCAAGCTGTAGCCTCTGGTAATCCTTCTCATCCTTCTTCTTATGTACCAAATAGAGAAGGATTAGTTCAAGTTCATCAAGCTATTGCTAGGCTTGTTACTAGTATACTAAGCGGAAACTAACCTGTACCGGGGATTTCTGTCCCTTTAAATCAATCAGGAAGCCCAAATGTGGACCTCTCTGAGAATGTAGATGTCTCTGAGAATGTTGTGACACAAAATGACAACATTCAGAACCCTTCAGAAAAGACTGCTGATCCACCTATCATTGATGTGGATGAGGATTACTCAGATAATGATCTGATTGCCAATGTAAACCCTAGCATAGCTAGGAGATTGATGAAAAGAAAGGGTAATCAGAATGATGCAAAATGTGTGTCCAAAGATAAACCTGCTGTTAAGAAATCCAAGGCTGAAGGCATGGCTGAGGTAGAATCTGTGAAAATTATTCAGACCAAAGGGAAGAAGGCCCAGGTGCATACTGCTAGACAACCAATTTCAAAGAAGAGAAAAGAACCTGAATCTTCTGATTCTGATGAGGAATCAGAATTTGAGATTGATGCTGAAGAAATTCCTATCAGAAGGAAGCTCCCCTCCAGCAAAATTGCTAGAGTTCCTGAAGTCCCAACAGACAACATCTCTTTTCATCATCCTGACAATGCAAACAGATGGAAGTATGCTTGCTTAAAGAGAATAGCTTTAGAAAGAGAACTCAACAATGATGCCATGGAGTGCAAAGACATCATGGACCTGATCAAGAATGCTGGACTGATGAAGACAGTGATAAAATTTAACAAGTGTTATGAAAATCTGGTCAAGGAGTTTATAGTGAACTTGTCTAATGATTGTGCTGATGGAAGGTCAGCTGACTTTGAAAGTGTTTTTGTTAGAGGAAGAAGGGTTAAGTTCTCTCCATCAGAAATTAACAAATTTCTTGGAAGAACAAATGAGGATTGTCCTGATCTGGAGGTCACTGACAATGAAGTTTGTCAAACCATCACAGCAAGGCAAGTGAAGTGCTGGCCCTTGAAAGGCAAGCTGAATGCCAGCAAACTCAACATGAAATTTTCCATCCTGCACAAGATTGGTGCAGCCAACTGGGTGCCTACAAACCATAAATCAACTATCTCCACAGGATTGGGGAGATTTATTTATGCTGTGGGAACCAAGACTGCTTTTGACTATGGCAGGTATATCTTTGAACAAACTTTAAAACATGCTGGTAGTTATGCTGTCAAAGAACCAATTGCCTTTCCATCCCTCCTTTGTGGAATTATCCTTGCACAATACCCTGATATCCTGGTGGCAAGAGATACAGCCTGCAAAAGAGCTCCTGCCCTTGGCTTGCACTACAAACTGTTTCAGGGATCTCATGCTCCAGATATTGTCATAACATCAGCTGAGACATCGTCTGTGAAGACCCAGTCCAAGACATCTGATGTCATAGCTGTTTTAAAAGAGACCTGCAAAGAGCTGGATGCTAGGAAAAAGACCCTAGAAATCCTAATTTCCAGGTTGGAAAAGGAGGAAGCTGAAGGAAACAGAAGGGAAGAAGGTGTAGAAGCTGAAGGTCATCTCAATATTGAAGAAACTAGCTCCTCTGATTCTGATGACAGTGCTTAAAGGTTGGTTGTTGTTTGGTGGTGTTGCTGGTTGGTGCTGGTACCTGGTGGAGTTTAGAAGTGTGTTCAGTTTTTTTTCTGCTGCTGCTCTTATTACTTTTTTCTGGATAACTGTATAATTTTTATGAACATGTATCTTTGGCCCATTTGTGGCTAAAGAGGGGGTGAATATTTTGGTACTTGCTTAATTAGAAATTCTATTTTTCTGCAGTCATTTCTTTCTGCTGCTATCTATCTCTGATTACTTAGGGTCTTTAGCCAAAAATCTGCCAAAGGGGGAGTTTGTAGTTGTTTAGTTATTGGCTTGCATTTTTGGTAAAACCCAAGTGTATGTGTGAATGTCATGACTGATGTCATAACATTCTAGTTTAGTTTATACTGATTCATTAGCTACCTTTGCAGAAAAATATTGTCATTCAGGTACTGATGTTTATAAGTGTGTATCTGAGCATTTTGCAAAATGATCACATTTTCCTAAAATCAGTAGACAGGTTTTTCAGATGTCATAACAGATGTTAAGACATCCTGTTCTGAACTAACAGGTTTGCAGTTTGGTTAATTCTGAGTTTTTTCAGGAAAATGACTCAGTCTTTCCAGAACAGAATCCTGCGTTTTCTTTGGGTTAACCTAGCTCAACCCTAACCTGGTTGATAAAGTCCTGTGACCTAGTCTTAAGGTCAAATGGAATTAACCCTAGCTTTTTGTGGAAACCCTAACTGAAGATGCAGCTGCTATATATTCAACAGAGCTGCTGTTTTGAAAGGAATCCCTTTTTGATCAGAAGATCATGTGTAAACTGTATAGGTTTAATTATTGTACTTCAAGCAATTATCATTGTGATAAGTGACTTGGAATAGGTTTTTAATTTTAAGGGTTGTGTAGCACTCAAAGCTTTGAAGCAAGAGTGTTTGAATGTTTCTTGACTAAAGTTGTGAAGCAGAGTCAAGTTAGGTGTGTGTATCACTCAAAGCTGTGAAGCAAGAGTGGTTGTGTTGCTTGATTAAAAAGCTGTGAAGCTTAATCAAGTATATGTTTTTGAAGAGTGTCTTCATCAATTCATTAGTCAAATTGTTTTATGTATCACTGCTGTGATTGAGGGGGAGTGAGTAGGAACTCAGGTTTAAGTTGTACTTAGATTGAAATTGCATTGGGTAGGTCTTAAGTGAAAGAGATAAACTGGTTGGTTTATTCCTGAATTAACATCTCTTATAGTGGATTTCCTCCCTGGCTTGGTAGCCCCCAGAGTAGGTGTTGTTGCACACTGAACTGGGTAAACAATTGACTGTGTTCTTTACTGTTTTTGTATTTACTGTCTTATAGAAAGTCAGATACGGTGTCATAACATTAAACGTGACATTGAGTATCTGCAGCCAGAATTTCACCATTTTCGTGCACTCCCACACTCCTATAAATAGGAGGCCAGTGACACATTACAACGGATAGAAAATTACACGAAAAATCACACGAAAATCATAGAACGAAAATTATACACACTTCTTCAAAAAATCTGCAGGAGAACAAAACATTGGAGAGACGCTGCCCAGAATTTTCCAAGCCAAAGCAGTCCCTCAGATCGAAGGTGCCTACGCCCAGAAGCCCTCGAATCAAAAGTGCCTACATCCAGGAAGTGCCCAGATCAGAAGTGCCTGCGCCTAGAAGTTCCCAGATCGAAAGTGCCTGCGCCCAGAAATCCCAGATTGAAAGTGCTCCCATCCAGCCAGTGCCCAAATCGAAGACTCAATTTGCAGGTAAGAAAGGGTAATTTTCCAACCTTACATTTGCGTAAATGCATTATTACTTGTTGTTACCTTTGACTTGCCATCTTAGACAGGATCGAAAGGCCTGGGTTTGGCACCCAGGTGTTGTACCCCAATTTTTGACCTAAGATCCCATTTTTATTTTTACATTTTTTAAGATAAGTCAAGGTCACAAAATGCGGTCGGTTTTAACGTCTCACCTTCGAGCTTTGACTATGCGAAGATTGTCAAGTGTTTTGAACATTTTTAGCATATGTATCACTAATTTCTAATCGCATACAAAGGTGTATGTTCATGTTCTTTTGTGTCATGTGCAGAGACAGGTCTGAATCAAGAGCATCAGGTGTCGCGCCTCAATTAAGGTTTTGAGTCTCCCAAGCCAGAAATACGGTTGATTGTGGATTCTCGAAGACTGATTCATCAAGGCACACCGTTCCACCCTTAATTTCGCCCCTAATATGTTTTAGTCGCACTTTCATATTATATTTTGTTATTTGGTTACGATCACTAGTAAATATCTTCATTCATCACATTTTGCATCATTAGTCGTATTTAAGTTGATCGGAAAAAGTCAGTTTAAATCAAAGTTTGCATCGTCTTTCAGTTGTAAAATACCCGACATTTTGCTTCATGCATTTTTATCTATTTACTCATTTGTTGCATTGCTCCAAGTTGTTTATATGTCGATAATAAAAATATTTTGGTTTTATAGACAGACTGTTAAAAGCGATTCGACACTATGCGGGAAAGTAGCGAGAAAATATTTCAAGTTTTCACCTTTTACCGATCATTTTATGAATCTGCGCTTCGCGTAGATTATGACGGTATGCTCGCTTTATTTTTCGGTACAGTTCGAAGTCTCGTTTTAACCTTAAACGTCTGTTTAGTCTGATATTTTTATTATTATTTTATTTTTGATTTTTGACTTCTTGAATATTTTTTTCTTTAATCTTTGTGACATGTAGATTATTTTAATGTGTTCATTTTATTTTTTCGGATAAATTTTCGTCCGTTTTTTTATCATTTTCGGTCATTTTTGGGTCTTTATTTTTTATTCATAAAATATTCAAATAAATCATTTTAAATTGAGTTTTTTTATACTTTCAAGTTTTATTTTTATTTTTGTCATTAAAGGGCTTTTTAGTCACAAAAAAATATTAAATATACTATGCTTGATTTTCATTGGTTGTTGGATGAAATTGAGGATCGATACATAAAAACAAAACAAAAAAATAGCACTTGCAGTAACCTTTCCTCTCTTCTCCAACTTCTAGTGTTTTGTTTTTTCTTAAAAGCCAAATATGTTCCCTGCACTTAGGGCAACTCCACTTCTCTCTCAGAACAAAAAAACCACTCTCTCTTCATGCCATATCCTCTCTCCACTAGCTCACCCTTTCATTTCTTCACAATATCACCAAAATTCACCATATTCCAATTACAACCATTGAACCTCAGACCTGCGTACAAAACTCATACACACAGATTAACCATCAATTTTCAATTCACTTTTTACATTCTAACAGTAACCATTCTTACACAACCAAAACTCCATGTTTTTGTTACAATGACATAAAGCTTTGCCTCTACTTTCATAAACTAAGTTTCACCATAAACTTACTAATACAAACTCACAAATCATAATCAATCATCTTGACACAAGAAACAGAATACAACATCAGAACAAAAAAAACAGTACGCGATAGAGTAAGAGATAAAAAACCGCCAAAGACCGACGCCATCTCACCCTCGATTCGTCCTCTCTTCCTCCCGCCTGCATACATCCAGCACCATCATCCAGCTCTTATCACTCCTCCGCAGATAGAGTCTATCTTGAGTGGAAATTTTCCTCCTGGCTTTGATTCGAGTACTTGCCGCAGTGTCTATGTGGGCAACATTCATCCTCAGGTTACAGAGCCACTTCTTCAAGAGCTTTTTTCAAGTGCTGGTGCGCTTGAAGGTTGCAAGCTTATTCGGAAAGAGAAGTCATCATATGGATTTGTGGACTACTTTGATCGCAGTTCAGTTGCTATTGCTATTGTAACTCTCAAGAGGAATATTTTTGGACAGTCCATCAAAGTTAATTGGGCTCATACTCGTGGCCAGAGAGAAGACACTTCAGGACACTTTTCGCAATTGTCTATTCAGATTGCTTTCACTTTCTTAGTTTACCCTTCTTTGATCTTAGCCTATATGGGACAAGCTGCATATCTTTCCAAGCATCATTCCCTTGAAACTGACTATAGAATCAGGTTTTATGTGTCTGTACCAGTAAAACTTAGATGGCATGTTCTTGCAATAGCCATACTTCAAGCTGTGGTTGGAAGCCAAGCTATCATCACCGGAACTTTCTCGATAATCAAACAGTGTTCCTCTTTAGGATGCTTCCTGAAAGTCAAAATCGTCCATACATCATCCAAGATACATGGTCAGATTTACATTCCTGAGATCAACTGGAGTTTGATGCTTCTTTGCCTGGCTGTTACAATTGGTTTTTGAGATACCAAAAGCCTCGGAAACGTAGCAGGTTTGGCTGTGATAACTGTCATGCTGGTAACGACATGCCTGATGTCTCTGGTTATAGTCTTATGTTGGCACAAAAGTGCTTGGGTAGCTATTTGCTTTCTATTGTTCTTTGGTTCCATTGAAGCACTCTATTTCTCTGCCTCACTCATCAAGTTCCTTGAAGGTGCTTGGGTCCCTATTTCCCTTTCACTTATCTTTCTTATTATCATGTATGTATGGCACTATGGCACGGTTATGAAATATGAATTCGATGTTCAAAATAAGGTCGTTATCATTTGGCTCCTTGGTTTAGGCCCGACTCTCGGAATCGTAAGGTGTTGTACCCCAAAATTTTACCTCGCATTTTTCTCAAGAAGTCTCAGCTTCAGGCATTTCCTGATTTTTTCAAACTGGCTCAAGAATCGGTCAAACAGACTTTTCTCGTCAGTCAGGACACAATTGGGGTTTTACCAATTTTCAGGGCTTCGGAATGTCTCACACTGTTGGCTTAGGGTTTTGGTTGACTTTGACTCAATTTTGATCAGGTGGACGTTCTTTGGCATTTAATCAGAAATTAAGGTTTTATGGGCATATTCTCAGAAAAATTAAAATTCCACAGCACTTTGCAAGTTATTCCGAGAATCGGTTTGAATTCGCATTGTTTTGATTTAATCAGTAAAAGAGGCAGTTGGTTTGAATTCAAGTTGGTTTGTTTGAGCCAGTCAAAGATATATGTAGTTTGGATTTACAGTGATTGGTAAAAATCGGTGAAAAGGGAATGCGCCTGATCAGTGATTTGATTAACTATTGATTCGCTTTGGAGATACCAGGATTAACTGATCAATTACTAAGACATTGTTTTATTTAAATTATTTATTATTCTAAATTAAGTGATTGAAATTTATTTTTCAATTATTTTAATTCAAAGAGTTTTAAATAATAAATAAACAATAAAGAGAAAAACAGAATTAATCGGATAATGGAAACTTTTATTTATTCTTAAATTAACTGTACAATTATTGTTTATAATTTAATTACAAACAATGGTTTTACATTAATTTAAATATTAAATAAAAATAAAAACTATCCTATTTTTCTAATTCTTCAGTCTTCATTTAGTACCCCTCCATCCATGTTTGTTCATCTGCAAAAGAAAAGGAGAAAAGTCAAAAAAGCAGATAAAATAATAAACGATAAAAGAAATTCATCATTAAGGGCCACTGACTGGGATCAGTTAACCCTCTCTGCAAATCACGGGATTTCTCCCGGTTCAAAAAGAGGGAAGAATTTTATTCATTTAATCATGAATGCAAAATGTCAAACGCATAAATTCAAAATATCAAACTGCATAGTTCAAGTTCAACCAAACTGAAAAATTAAAAAGTACAGTTTGCTGTCAAAAATGCCAAAGTCTACTCAAAGCTGTCATAAAGAGGATTTGGCAAAGATATGGAAAGTTCACAAAGTACAAAAGCTGTCAAAGAAGAGATAAAGAATGCAGAGGAAAGCATGATATGCAAGCAAACTCTTTTATCATCATTTCCCATCAGAATAGCCCTTTCAGAAAAAGTACAGGAAAGAAGCATATTAAAATATCCAACTGTACTGAGAGGGAAGGGTGGAGAGATAAGAAGCAGGGTTCAGGCTTTAGGCATAAAGGAGGGGATAAGAAAATATACAAAGACTCCCACTGCATAAAACAAATACAGAGGGCAAAAAACTCAAACAAATTTCTCAACCATCAACCTGCTGTCCAGAACAAAAAGAAAACATTTCCAAACACATAACCTCAAACCTGGAACCAAAATGCTAATGGCCTGAACCATAAAACATCAAACACCTCCAAACTCAAAACCAACATAACCTCAAAAGCCTAGCCTGCATATGCAAAACCATAACTGTCAAAACTAAAACCAACAAAAAAGGAAAATATACAAACCTGCATTAACCCAAAAAGCCAGGATACCAGTTCAAGAAACCTCAAGCACCCCAACCTGCCTAAAGCAAGCCTCAAGCCTAACACTACAAGCACAAACTTGCCTGAACCATACAAAAACCCACCATACTGTCAAACTCCAACCTGCTAAGAGCCTGGAGTAAAAAACCCACTATTGCATTTCTAAAAAACCAGTCCAGAAAATCATGGCCTAAGCAACCCCTGCCTAAGCCATCAACCAAAAGCCATACCAACATTACCTGCATCAGCCTTACCTAAACTCGAACCTCAGGCCTAAGCAAAAACACTATTTCCAAATCAAACATCGAGCCCTCAGGAAGATAACATCATTGGGTAATAGAGAAAAACAGTCATCTCAAGGCATCATAATCAACAGTTTCAAAGGGCAAGCTCAAGGCAAAGAGAAGGAGAAAATCAAAGGTAACCAAACCCACAAACCCTCAGATATACATCATCATAGGGTGTTTCCGAAGCACGTTCTAAGTAAGCAAGCAGAATAAGGTAACCAAGGTAACTCACAGAAGCAACAATAACATTTCAAGCACACCAAACTCAGAGACAAAGAGGAAGCAACAAAGGCATCTCAAAACAACAAGTATACAGTAGCAAGAAGGAGAAGAAGAAAAGAATATGCTATATCAAGCTTTCAGCTCAGAACATCATAAAGCGTAAGAAAGATACAGAAATACAAGGGTCACCAAGAAGTTGAGCTCATCGTGCCGTTCATTCATCGTTGGGCCTCAACGCCTCCAAAGTCCCCCTTCCGCCATCTCCAAAGGTAGTGTTCTTATACCACCTTACATGCATATTAGTAACGAAAGAAAATATCACTTGAAACCAAAATTAAAATTAAAATCAAAAGAGGAGCAAAACCCTAATGCATTTGAGATTGAAATCGTACCCTATAACATGGTCTGGTTGGTCTACGGAGGGTGAAAGGGGAACGATGGCGTTTACTGGCCTTGTGTGAAGGAGCTGCACTCAAGTATCCATGGCAAAAGACGAACGGAGAAGACAACGAAACCCCAAGATGCGCCGCTGTACAAACCCTAAGATTGAAAACAAATCAAAACCCTAAAAATTCCTTGAGTCCTAACATGGGCCTCGCCCCATTCTGCTTGCTTAAAGCCCATTTGCCTTCACTTAGTTTGTCTTTTAACACATCATTTTTGAGAAAATCAACAAAACATAGTAACTATTTTTTTTACACTAACAAATATTATATATATAGTATAATTTAGTTTATATATAAACTTATAAGAAATATATTTTTTTCTTCCTCTATATTTAAACTTACCTTTTTTTCTTATATATACATAGAATATTTTTTTAGATTAATATTTAGTTGACATACTGATACATTAATACAAGAATACTTAAAAAACACATTTCTTTGTACATAAATTTTAAAACACTTAATTTAAATATAATTTTGTACATATCATACAATATAGTTAAAATTGAAAATATCTTTTTTCTTTTAAGTATATATTTGTATATAAATAATAAAATACATTTTTTATCATATAATTAAAATTGAAAATACTTTTTTTTAAATTAAAATATATCTTTGTACATAATAGATAAATACTTTTTTTCTAGTATTAAATTCTTAAACACTTAATTAAAACACTTTTTGTATATAATAAACAATGATACATTTTATACATAATCTAATTAGAATTTAAGGCATTTGATTAAAACATTTCTTTTTGTACATATTAAAAGAAATACAAGATTACTAATTAAACAAATAAGCATTTAAATTATTTAAGTCAAAACAATACCTAACAATACTCAATACAAATACATTCACATTGTCGCACCTGTAAATAATTACATACCTACACACGTGTACACTTACACAACACATTTATATTGCCCCTATACACACTTGTTTATCTTATACATTGATATTCGTTATTTACATTTGATTGCAAATTCGATTTGGTTGTAACTTATTGGATACTACAAGTCTCATCCCCATTTGTGAATATTGTACCCCCACTCCCGGATACTATTTTGTAATAGCGTAGATTTTACATTTTCGCAATTTACCGCTTTCAATTATACCATGATTAGACCTAGGGTTTGCATGTACATAAAATCAAACGCTAGATAACCTAATACAAGACAAATACATGAAATCAATACACAATCACACTTGCACCCTCTAGGGTAATCCCACATGTTGCCTTCCAAAATGGGCCATGCTTGCACGTCGAGTTTCTTTGGCAAAACGAATTCAAAATGATCATAGTCCCTCGATAAGACTTTCAAAATGTTGCCTAAACAAATGATCAAGTCCCTCAAAGCAAATTGCCAAAGACACTTGGCACCATTGCATTCGTGGTCCATACGATGACCCGCGCCCGTCCCGAATAAACTTCCTAAACGCAAGATTGTCCACCAAATTCAATGGTGGAACAAAATTGTTAAAAAGGGGTTAAAACATAACAAAAAACCTTTGAGTACAATAGGGTAGATAAAACTCTTAGTTACTTGAGATCAACTTGCAAAAACACTTGCCTTCTTTTCAAAAACCACAATCCACAAACACTTTCAAACAAACTCTCAAAAACATTTGAAACATCTTTTCGAAAAGATACACACTTTTGTAAAACACTCAAACACGAGTCAAATACATTGGTAGCCTAAGACAAGGCATCTCTTCCAAAACATTTTCAAAAACAAACACACACACACACCATTTTCAAAGCAAGCGAAAACAAAAGGCAAGTGATCTAAGCAAGTAACTAAGAGCCCATGGATAACCATGGATAGAAAGGGTGCTAATACCTTCCCTTTCTATAATCTACTCCCCGAACCCAAGAAAACATCTCAAAAGGTTTTTGCTGTGCTTTTTAACCTTTCCTTAGGATAAAATAAAAAGTCGGTGGCGACTCTTGCTCAACCGAAACATTTGCGAAAACAAACGCAAAACCTCAAGTCAGTTCTCCCACCGTATCACAGAACTGGCGACTCTGCTGGGGAAAGCTTAAAGTTGAGTAACCTTAGGGCTTAGATCACCTTTGTT